AGGTATCATAGGATGTGCCGCAAACGAGCCGAGTCGAGTCGAATTTTTTCTTAGTTTGAACTCGGCTCGTTTATAATTTTTTTAGCTCGAACTCGAATTTTGATAATCCAGCTCGAGCTCGGCTCGATTAAAAATAATCCAGCTCGAGCTCGACTAAAAATAATCCAGCTCGACCTCGACTCAGCAGAGCTCGGTAAATGTTCATTACCACAGTTTGTCAAGCTGAGTACAAGCTCGGCTCAAAATGAGCTCGATTTGAAATCATTCTTGTTGAAAAATGCGTGCGCATTTAAATGATAAAAAGAACACTGGAAACTATAAATAACATCTAACTTCCATACACATCCATATTAACAAGATAATGTTCATAGTCAGAAGAGTAATTAATCCTTCCACAAGCTCTAAACAAGCCAGCACGCAAACTTTGCTCAACAAGCCGCCGAATCAAACTAGCTCACGAGCTTATCAATCTGAACATGGTCTAACTCAAACTTGTCTCGTTTACTAACTGATGCCTCTTTTGATTTTGCGCCGCCGACCATAAAAATATGCCCTCGATTCTTGGCATTTCAGCATAAGCGGCCTCCGTACGTGATAAGCGCTGTTCTTCCTAGTTAGGAATTTTCCTTGCGGTGGACTTATCTGGTCTGTCTTTCTTTTTTCCTTTATGGAGTGGACTTTATCTAACCATTGGATTAATTCATTGCATCATATAAAGGTAAACTAGTTTTTTACCGACCTGTTGGCTGGAGAATTTCATTTTATTATTTATATTGATTAATTTATCTATATGTTTAAAGTTTTGTGAATCTTAATACTTAATAGTTAGCACACTCGCTTATGATGTTTTTATTCTCTAATCATAAATCATGTTGTGAAGGTTTATCACGTCTCATTTAGGGTCGTATATCAAGATGTTTCATTCAAGACACTCAAATTTATTATCTTATACAACATATAATAATTCGTAATTCTCGAGTTTGGATGAACTCTCAACTAATTGATGAGAGTTCAAATAATGGGATAAAAATATTTGATTACTGGATAAATTCAATAAATTCCAATTGGAACATGGCACATATCATACCCTTATTATGATCAAATTCTCTAATCCTCGCTCGTTTTCATTGTGGACATTTATGAAGTCTCGATATAAGATGTTAAGCAAAAATTTGTCTATCAAGACACTCAAATTTAGTATCTTATACAATACATATCAATTGCTCAATTTTTAAGTTTGGACTAACCCTCAACCCATGGTTGTTGTCTAGATGTTGGTTTAGAATCTCAATCCAAGACATTCACATAAATTATGGATGATTCTCATCTTAACATGGTCCTCCAATATATAACTTTCCAAATGTTTCAATGTGCATTCGCTATATTTTTTTATCTTTGGTGTTTGTTCATAGAAACATTGTGACATTTCACATGCATTTGAATTCTTGGATGTATTATAGGCATTTTATTGTTAATAAAGAGTTTATTATACTTTCAACCCTAATGATATCATTGAAGTCGGCTCATTGGGTGGAAAATGAAAACAAAGTTTTTTTTTTTTGCTAGGGTAACTCGATGTAAATACAAATTCCTGACTATTATAAACTAAAATAATTTTATTTTGAGACTTCGATATGGAAAAAAATTTTGTTACAACAAAACTTTGATATGGAATCACACGCACACATCCATATAGCCAGTAACTTCTCACAATTGTCTTACTGAACTCATCCTTATTAAAATTCTTCATTTAAACCCAATACATCGGTTTAGACTCTTGTAACTATAACGTTTTTTCGTCTAGATATCTCAAATAACACATAATGTTTATTTATTGTCTCAATTGTCGAATTTGGATTCGTCTATTGAGACATTCAAATATTAAAAGAAAAATTCTAACCTTTATTTGATTAATTCCTAGGTTAATGGTTGATAGCAAAATGTTTAACGTATATCCTTAACAAATATTTCTCTAACTTTCACACCTGTCATTTTTCAAGGCATCTCGTGTCTCATCCTAGGATATAAAGTCAAAGTTCAACAACAATCATACTTAAGTAATTTTGAAAACTTTGATTTATAATCCTCAATAATTAATAACTCCATGTCTGAAAATCTTAGCATATATATGACGTAAGACCTCAATAGAGTTTGTTTAATCAACATGATCTGTAGCAAATATTAGTAATGTGAACTTATGATACATTATAATTTATTTCACCTATGATTCCTATGTTTTCACTTAATACGAATGAATAAGTTTTTTTTTAAGAAATAACTATTATTGCTTGGTCAAATTTCTACTCAAAAAGTAATATATTTATGTGTATTTGTTTAAATTGTTCATCAAAATGTAATATATTTTTTAATTTTAGTAAATATGACTAAAAAATTTACTTAGTAAACTTTAATCAAATATTTTTTGGTTTAAAAAATGTGATATGTGTCACTCTAAATACATTAGTCTACTTATGCACACATTGATATAATGCAAAAGCAAAACAAAACAAAATGAATTATTGGGTAAATGAAAATAAATTTAAAAAAAGAGTTATAGAAAATGTGATATATGTCATTCTTCATACATTATCTATTAATGTGTACATTTATATAATACAAAAAAAAATATTAAATGAAGAGAGAGTTTCATGAATATATCAATAACTTTTTTTTTGTAAAAAAAAATAGTCCACCTAGGAAACTTGTAAACTCTCCAAGTGCTTATGTCGCAAACATTTACTTTTGAATTTCCATAATATTATGGTTTTTGGTCTAAATATCTCAAATAACACACTAATGTTTATTTATTGTCTCAATTGTCGAATTTGGATTCGTCTACCGAGACATTCAAATATTAAAAGAAAAATTCTAACCTTTATTTGATTAATTCCTAGGTCAGTGGTTGATAAAAAAATGTTTAACGTATATCCTTAACAAATATTTCTCTAACTTTCACACATGTCATTTTTCAAGGCATCTTGTGTCTCATCATAGGATATAAAGTTAAAGTTCGACAACAATCATACTGAAGTAATTTTGAAAACTTTGATTTATAATTCTCAACAATTAATAACTCCATGTGTGAAAATCTTAGCATATATATGACGTAAGACCTCAATAGAGTTTGCTTAATCAACATGATCTATAGCAAATATTAGTAATGTGAACTTATGATAAAGTATAAATTATTTCACCTATGATTCCTATGTTTTCACTTAATAGGAATGAATAAGTTTTTTTAAGAAATAACTATTATTGCTTGGTCAAATTTCTACTCAAAAAGTAATATATTTATGTGTATTTGTTAAAATTGTTCATCAAAATGTAATATTTTTTTTTATTTTAGTAAAAATGAGTAAAAGATTTACTTAGTAAACTTTAATAAAATATTTTTTGGTTTAAAAAATGTGATATGTGTCACTCTAAATACATTAGTCTACTGATGCACACATTGATATAATGCAAAAGAAAAAAAATTAAATTATTGGGTAAAAGAAAATAAATTAAAAAAAGAGTTATAGAAAATGTGATATATGTCATTCTTCATACATTATCTATTAATGTGTACATTTATATAATACAAAAAAAAATATTAAATGAAGAGAGACATGGCTTCATGAATATATCAATATTAAAAAAAAAAAATAATCCACCTAGGCAACTTGTGAACTCTCCAAGTGCTTATGTGACAAACATTTACTTATGAATTGCCATAATATTATGTATAGATAGATGTCTGAAATTATTAAATTTTTTTATGTTTTTCATTAAATGTCTTTCATTGGTTTCTGTTAACGACATTAATTTTTTGCTGATGTGACTAATAGAAGCGCCTAATCAGCCTAATTTAACATGAAAAAGTAGACACTCAATCTGTCACGTCATTAAAATCAACCCAACTCGTGACCCAACACAAATACCATAACTTTTGTTTTCCTCCACTAATTCCTCACGTTGTTAAACCCTAACTGCACCACCCCTCTGCATTCTGAGAAACGATAGCTCTTGATCGCTTATGATGGACTGATGTGTTTTTGGAGAGAGATGGAGCAAAATGAGTGACACTCATGATCTTAAATCTGATTTTGGTTGTTCAATGATATATATGTTGGTTGAAGGGAAGAAGAGCCGGTGAGCGGTGAGATGTGAAGCCGATAACTGTGACAGTAGTGAAATCTCATCACTTATTCACAAAAAAAATTTAAAGACCAATGGTACCATAGTAGTACAGTAACTTAATGATCGAATATTTTTGTTCCAATTACCCTCATACAAATATCTTATATTCACCTTCCAAATTCCTATCTCGCAAAAATACCAACATTAATAAACAGTCAAAATTAGCTATTCTAGTATCGATCCCATCGTTAGCTTCACGGTTACTATCTCTAACGTGTTAAAAAAAATTGAAAATCCGTTATTTTATTTCTGTAGTCTGTACTGTTCTTCCGTTGCTTCCTTGTAATTTCCGATCAATGACACAGGAAATTTCCGTTGTCTTGTCCTCTATAACCCAAATCCATTGAACACAAATCAGCCGCTAATCTAATTATTAATTACAATCCTTGCTCACTTAACGACACAGCACCGTGCATCATCTATGCTGCCTCTTGCTCTCACTTATTCCCACTACTCCCTAAATTTCCTGTGTCATGTTGGGCTAAAACCCAAATCAATCACTTAATCACAGTCAGAAAATACCATTAATCGGCTAGCCCCTGCCCCTGCCCCTGGATAGTACAAATCTAATTAATTACCCTCTTAGCCGCTGCCATTTGTCCCCATAATCCCGATTAAAAGACAAACACCCGATAAGTTAATTAATTAATCTTTTGTATCAATTGATAATGTCTGTAACTGTAATCCTCTGCCGCCGCCCAGCGGGTAGCAACCCGACCCGACCCGTCTCTGCCTTACCCTCCCACGTGTCGGGTCATGTCCTCCCCGCACGTGCGGCCCCCCAGCTCTATAAATACCCGCCCCGGCGCCCACTTCTCTTCCTAACCCGCCAGTTAAAAGAACCCGAACCTGGAAAATAATCAGCCAAAAAAAAAAAGACAGACTTTAAAATGAAAAACGAGAAAATTACATTGAAGAAGAAGAAGGCGAGAGGAATCAAGCTGGGGAGGAAAATCGGGACGGCCTTCAGGTGGGTAATCCGACCGAGAAGCGCGATTCGATCCGTGAAGAACCCGATCTCCGGGATTTTGTCGATGATCCGGGTCCTCCAGCGGAGGGCTCTGGAGACCGTGAATAATAATTCGGGTCGGAGGAGGGATTGCGTCCGGTTGGGCCGGGTGAAGCCGGTGGAGGATTCGGCGCCGAAGAAGGGGCACCTGGCGGTGTACGTGGGGGAATCCGACGGCGACACGAGGCGGGTCATGGTGCCCGTGATGTACTTCAACCACCCGCTGTTCGGGGAGCTGCTGGAGGAGGCGGAGCGGGTTTACGGGTTCGACCGGCCGGGCGGGATCAGCATCCCGATCGGGTATAAAAAGTTTGAGAAGGTGAAGATGAGGATCGACGCCTGGGGGCGGCGGGGTTGACCGCCGCCGACGGTGCGGTTTAGTTAGATGGATTTGACATAATCAGGAGTTTTTTTTTTTTTCTTCTTCTTCTTCTTCTTCTTCTTAATTCCTTCTTCGTCTTTCTTTTTATTATTAATTTCCGAAGGGATGATCTGTTAATAGTAAGACGAAGTTTCGTGGATTCATCTGGATTGGATAGTTGACAATGGGGAAGAATTATTGTGGAAAAAATAAGGAAAAACAGGATTAATTGGTTTCATAAATGGGAAAATTCAACGGTGAAGTACGTTTCTCTTCGTCGCCATTAATCGGCAGAGAAAATGTGGTCCATTTCCTAAGCTAGATTAATAATAGGCCAGTGTATTAGTACGTATGGTGGTTGACCTGCAAAAGTTTGGAAAAGGAAATATAGAAATGTTTTTTGGGGAAAATTTTAATACAACTTTGCTGCATTTTTTTTTATGGGTGAGAAAAAAAATATATCTAAGAGACCAGAAAATATTAGGGTTATGTGCCCTCATTATTATTAAGACTTAAGTGTAAATATATTTAACGTGTGTCCCTTAGTCAACTAATCGTACAATGATTGATGTACAAGCGGATGTAAGATTCCAACTAACATTACCAAATACATACGTTAACATTTTTCTCTAACTCGATCAAACAAGTCTTTCCCCCTTAGAAACTACTAGCTAGTCTAATCAACCCTATCTTTGGTGACATAAGTGGAAGAAATTGATCATATGATGATTTTGGTCGGTAAGAAGATGAGTTGATGTTTTGGATTCTTCCACGAGGAACCCCATAGATAAATCGAGCACTTCTACTATGCTATATAACATTGGTGCTTTAATGTACAACTCAAAGTTGTACCATAACATTAAATGTATAAGTTTAGATTGTACCATAAAGCAATTTGTACCATTATGTTATGGTACAACTTTACAACTTGAAGTTGTACCATTACATAAAGGTACAAGTTCAAGTTATACCATAAAAGAATTTGTGCAAAATGAAAGAGCACGGATCTAGGTGTGCGATTGAGGATCGTGATTGGTATGAGAATTAGGAATTTGGGATGAGGTAGAATTTGAGAATTAGGGTTGAGAAAGAGGATTTCCGGGCACCGGGATGGTGGCCGACGAGTTGGAGAGGGGAGGAGGGGGGTTCGGCTATGATAGAGGGAGAGAGAGAGCTTAGGGAATAATTCTGTTGTTATTGATTAAGCTTAACCTAGGCCTAACACAGAATATATATATAAACCGACTAATTCCCTATAACTACCCAAAGACTTAACCTAACCGATTTAACCCCAATAATTCCCGAAATAACCGACATAACATAAAACGTCCAAATAACAAATAAACCCTCAATAAATGACTATCTAACATCCCATCCCCCTTGGAATCCACCTTGCCCTCAAGGTGGACCTTCTTTCTTCTCTTCTTCTCCTCTGCTTCACGCGCCTCCATTTCCTCTCCTTCATTTTCCCAGTTCCCAACCAACAGCATTAGATGACCCTTGGCGCACTGATGGCCCACTGTGTACCTCTCGTCGCAGTTGAAGCAACGGCTGTCTCTGCGCTTCTGGTCCATTTCTGCCTGAGTCAGCCGGACAAACCCCTTCGGTGGCAGCGTTGACTGGAACCTGTTCCCTGATGCTGCTCCCGTGGCCGCCGGGCTTGCATTTCCCGACGGCGGTGATGTACCGGCTCCTGCTCCCATTCCTCCACTGGCTTTCTGGATGCGCCCAACCGACGTCCTCCAACTAGCCAACTCCTCTTCCTTGCGCTCTGCAATCCTGAAAGCAACTCGAAGAGAGTCAGGTTCAAAAACCTTAACGGCGGTCGCCAGCTCGGGACGAAGCCCCGCCATGCACAGCCCCACCAGGCTCTCCTCTGTCATTTCCTTGCACTGGTTTCCTAGCTTAAGGAACTCCACGCGATACTCGGCTACCGACCCTGTCTGTCTGAGCTTGGCCAGCTGTTCCGGAGCCCAGCCCTCTGCCTTGCCAAACTGGTAGCGCAGCTCATCCTGGAACCTGGGCCATGTTATGACCTCACCGACTGCTGCATAAGCTCGCTCGGTCCACTCCCACCACTGGAGGGCGTCTCCCTCAAGATAGAAGGACGTCAAATGCGCCTTCCTCTCTTCTCGGATCGGGTGGTTCCTGAACCACCTCTCAGCTGCATACAACCACAAACCCACATCTCCCGAGCCGTCGAACTTGGGAAACTCGATCACTGGCGGTTTAGCTCTAAATACCAACTCCTCTTCAGTCTCATACAGAGGGTTACTGTATTCATACCTGCCTGAGTTCGGTAGTGGCGGCTGATTCGTCGGTTGCTGCTAGGGAGGGTAGGGCCAGTCGCCCGTCACCTCCTGGTGGTTCCCATGGTACCCCGGCTTGGTCCCCAACCCTTGCCCAATGTCCCGAAAACCTCGACCGCGTCCCCCTCCTGCTCGCAGTGTACTCCACGGGGGGTACCCGTACTCCGGGCCCCTGCCGGGACCTCTGTGCGGCCCGTTCCAGCTGCTGCCCGCCTGTGGATGACCTGAACCGGTTCGGTTCGGTCCGGCCAGTTCTTATTCGACCAGCTGCCCAACCCGTAACCGATCCGGTTTGGCCCGGCTTCGAGCACGCGACCCAGCCCCATCTCGCCTCCTCTGGGCTCGGATCCATCCAACCCTCTGGATCACCAAAACTCAACTCCTCTCCGGGCTAGGGTTCTTCTCCTCCAGGTCCAGTCGACCATGTCTCCCCTTCGTACCCGGCCATCTTCTGCTTTCCACGGGCCTTGTCTTGGCCCGGTTCCATCGGCGTTGGCAGCAGGCCAGGCCCGCTGAATGCCGGCGCAGGTACGCTCCTGACTCCCAAGTTTCCCGACTCCCCCACTCGACCGCGCGGCAAGATTGAGCTTCCCGGTGCCCCGCCCGGCACGGCCAGCACCTGCGTCACCCCTGCCTCGTCCCTGCCGACCGGCGACTTCTCCTCCGCCGCCTTCTCCTCCCGGTGCGCCCCCGCCCCGGCCTGCTCCACGCCCGCGTCGTCGCGCGGCGCCCCCTGCGCCCCCGAGCCCACCGCGGCTGCTGCTGCCGCCTTTGCTCCCGCCGCGGCTGCTGTTGTCGGCGCCATCCCCATAGCCGGGACCGGCGGCGGCTCCCGGTTCTTCAGAACTTGGGTTAGCACCTCCTGCATCGTCGTCGCCAGGGCTTCGCAGATGTTTTCAGCCACACTCTTGCCCATCTCTTCGATGGAGGCCTTGATTTGGTCGCCCATGGCTTCGATGGCTCCGATCGAACCCCTCGAGGCCTCCGCTGCCCTCACAGTGACCTCGGTCAGGCTCTCCAACGATGCTGCCAGCGCGTCATACTTGTTGATCGTCACGTCCTTGACTGTCACCACCTCCTTGGCCTGGCGCGGCGGCTGCTGTTTGTCCGCAGGGTTCGACATCTTCAGACTGCAGTATTTCTTCAGAGAATCGGAACACCAACCAGGCTCTGATACCACTGAAAGAGCATGGATCTAGGTGTGCGATTGAGGATCGTGATTGGTATGAGAATTAGGGATTTGGGATGAGGTAGAATTTGAGAATTAGGGTTGAGAAAGAGGATTTCCGGGCACCGGGATGGTGGCCGACGAGTTGGAGAGGGGAGGAGGGGGGTTCGGCTATGATAGAGGGAGAGAGAGAGCTTAGGGAATAATTCTGTTGTTATTGCTTAAGCTTAACCTAGGCCTAACACAGAATATATATATAAACCGACTAATTCCCTATAACTACCCAAAGACTTAACCTAACCGATTTAACCCCAATAATTCCCGAAATAACCGACATAACATAAAACGTCCAAAAACAAATAAACCCTCAATAAATGACTATCTAACACAAAAAGTATAGGTACAATCTTGAGTTGTACCATAACGTAAAAGTACAATTTTAAGTTGTACCATAAAGACAAAAACCTATAACACTAATTCTATATAGCATTGTAAAATTTCTCTAGATAAATCCATATATAATCCTAATTCCTTTCAACAAATCACAAATGCACACATCAAAATATTATCATTATCTTCTTCCATTTCTTTCCTTTGATTAAAGCCCATTGAATAGTTTAGTGTGATCCTTATCTTAGCTTATTGGTTCTGTACATTGTTATTACTTATTAGAGAATTTAAAAAAATATCCCTGACCAGTGACCACCCCTTATGCCTTATGGAGTTATGGTTATGTGATGACATATCTCAAATTTCAAATTTTATAGTTAACTATATAAAGTGAAATTTGTTACAACTTTTATAAATGAAATAATTGGCAAAGCTCTAGTACTTAGGCTTCTTTGTACAATTACTGGGATTCAACTCTTTTAATTAACCTTTACTCCGCTTCCTTTCTCATATTTTTGACTCTGTCACTATATTCGATGTTTCCCTCAAATATTTTGTTTAATTTGGGTAGATAGTACGGAAAAAAAATGGCGGGAGGAGCTCTCTCGTCTCTCCTCGAAATTTCTTTCTGGCTTGGAGAATGGCTGAAGCAGGTGTTCTCTTCTTGGCTCTTGGCCAGCCTGCAGAATCAGAAAAAGGTTCGTCCGACAACTATCCCGGGACAAAGCGACGGACGACGCGAAGGGCATCCGAGCACGCCGCAGGGCAGAAAGTCGGACAACCACCGGAAGATCGCCGTGCTGACATGCAAGTCGGTAATAAGTCATCAGAAACGTAAACGGGGCGTTGTTTGGGGACGAGATGACTCCCTCTTGAACGCCAATATCAAAAGAGGCAGATTGATGTCGCTAAAGGGATGGCGATTCTGGCTCCCACCTGCACCTGATGTGGGGGAGGAGGAATCGCTGGTATCCCAGCCTGCAAGTGGAGATTATAATCTTCGCACCTCCAGATCGCATAATTATTTCCAGGGTGCCAGAATGAGCAGGCCCCTGCTTGTGTGGGAAGCAATTATGCAAAAGCCGGCTTTGCGATGGCCGGCGAAGAAGCCGACAGCTACCGGAACCAGACTCACCGCCGGCGGCCGATGGCTATTCTCGCCGGCCAAGGGTGTACCCAAGTTACGTCAAAGTCGGGGGACAGGATCCGTAACGGTTATTTGCCGATTCGGTCCGGATTTCTCGAGGATTTTTGGGAGGGATTTGTGTCAGCTTATCTCCCCTAACAAACTTAATGGTGTGATTCTGAGCGTTGATAGCTCTCCTATTTCCAATACAACTCAAATTGCCAACGGTAATTGGCAAAGCGCGTTAACCCCAAGAGAAGCGGCTACTGCTGTGTTTCTCATTATATATTCACCCTTGCTGCGTATGATAGTCCACCGATACCAGGAAAAGTACTGTTCGAGTGGTTCCTCCAACGCAGCAACCCTCCCTTTCCCCGAGTGCGCTTGTTTCGAGCTCGGGTATGGAGGAATGTGAATATAAATCCAACTTATAGCCTTCCTCAAAGGCTGTTGTTTCCTATACGTTGCTTGACAGTCCTGTTCCAGCCCACAGCTCGAGTGATTCTCTTTCGATGGGCCGGCCTTATGATAATCTTTTTATTGACTCCAGCCTTTTATTGCCTCTTCTTGTCAGGAACGAGGTATGGTTCATGTCACGGAGGACCAGGTGGTCCAGTTCTCCCTAGATGAGGTTCAATCTACGAAGCGGCGTGCGTCACGTACTGTTCTAGGACGATTGTTCACCACTGAACAATTCTCGAAAGTGGAGCTGCGTGATGCCCTGGTCGATGCTTGGCAAATAAAGGGTCGGGTGAAAGTCTCCATGGCAAGCCATGGTTTATTTGAAATTATGTTGCCGAATGAGGAGGCGAAGAGCTGGGCCCTGAAGCGAACCCCTTGGGTCATCAAGGATAAAATCCTCAACGTCCAAACATGGGCACCGTCGGTATCTCGGAAGACCTTTGAGGACTTATCCATAGCTCCTTTCCGCATCCAACTTTGGGGCGTGAAAGAAGACTGATGTACCAGCCTGTTCGGGCGTAAGTTCGTGGCTTCGGCTATTGGGAAAGTCTTAGAGTCGGACGTTTTCGCATGTAAGGATTCGGGGGAGATATTTATCAAAGTTCGTGCTGTCATTGATTTCGCCAAACCACTGCGATCCCAACTAATGGCGGCTAGTGATGAGACGGGATGCTTTTGGGTGAATTTGAAGTACGAATATCTCCCGAGCTTCTGTTATCACTGTGGTCGAGTGGGTCACGCACGACGCGACTGTACCTTCGATCCCCCGACTGGGAAAGAGCGCTATGGCCCACAGATGTCGACAAAGAAACTAGGTCGAAGGCTTTATGTTGACGATGGCGATACCATGAAGCCCAGGGGTCCTCGGCAAGCAGTTTGGTTTAATCGCCAGACTAATGACCCTGTCACCAATGCTCGAACATATATTCGGGATCGAGATGCAGAGCGGCAGGTGGCTAGCCAAAATCTGGAGGCGGCTCCCCAAAGAGCCTTGGGAGGATCGGAACCTGCTGGCAAGCCGAGCCAGGTCAAGGGATTGAGGAAGTCTCCGAGTAAGAAAGTGAGTCCGAGAGGGTTTCCCCTCAGCAAACCGCCTCGGATCCAGCTTGGGGGAGGAAGAAGTAAACGCCAGGGCAAGTGTGTCACAGAAGACGAAAGCAAGATGCAGGGGGATGAATTGAGTGAGGATCGCGGTGTCACTAGCGATTATATATTTGCCCCACCTGAGCTGGCCGCTGCGCTAATGGCGTCCTCGCCCAGACTCGACGTCGTCGTCTCATCCTTGAGACTGACTCTGATGATGATGCTCTAGAGATCGACGCTGCTCAGATGGTCACTGCCACATGGCCTGCGAAGAAGGACCTCCCCCGTAAAGATAGCAAGCGGGCGGGGTCTAAGTGTGGACCTATGGGGGGATTGGAGGTGGGCCGTTGGGACTTCCCAGCTACAGAAAGCGAGCCCACCCAGGGCAAGGTTCCTGCCCATTTGGCACATAACTCGCCCCACCCGCTGCAACATTTGGCCCAGCCCACGAAGAGGGGTAAACTTCGGAAAGGCCTGAGTGGCGGGGGGGGGGGGGGGGGGGGGGGGGGGGGGGGCTCTTCTCAGCTGCCTGGCGTCCCGAAGAGGGAAATGGTCTCAGGATCGGCGCAGACTAGGCCCACGAGGCTTGCTAGTCCAGCTGGGCAGAACCTTGGGTAGGCCCCCAATATTGAAATGGTCAAGGACCTTGTCTCGGCGAATTCGGATTCGGAGGAGGAAAATCACTGCTTTGAAATTAAAAAGAGAATTTCATCCTCTACGCCAAAAGAAGCGAGTGCTATCACCAAAGGGCGTGTTAACCTGGTTGTGGCCGCATTTGCAGCTGGGCTTTCTATTAATTCTATGAAGCAACCCATCTCGCAGGAGCAGAAGGGACATGATAATCCAACTTGGGATGGGCAGGGTAGGAGCAAGGAAGATGGCGTTCATTTGGATGAATATGGGTCAAACTTATTGAATCCAGATATTGGAACGCGTAAGCGCCCTTTGGAGGCTGTGGAGGGTCACATGGGTGACATACCCACGCTGAAGAAACAATTTGTGGAAGCTGCTGATAATCTAGAACAGGTGGAGGAAGCCAGCCTAGAGTGGCCCCCATCGGATAAATGAAACTTTTGGCCTGGAATGTGAGAGGAATTGGACCATCCCTCACATACCAATCTGCAGTCGGTTTAGTTCGCTCTAATAAACCGGATCTCGTGTTCTTCACGGAGACACGATCGAGTCGGCGAGTTGTCTCCCGTCGTATGAGGGGTTTAGGTTTTTTGCTTTCCAATTGTTTTTTTGTGGATGCGATTGAGGCATCTGGTGGGTTAGTTGTAGCTTGGTCCCACGGGGTAGATGCTTCGGTGTTTTATCATTCGAGTTTCTGTATTTGCTCCCGTATTAATGAAATTGATTTTTCTTATATTGTGGTCTCTGTCTACATTAGTTGTAATGCCACGATCAGAGCCTCCCAGTTGACTCGGCTCCAGGAGCTCTAATCTTCCTTCCACCTTCCCTATGTCGTTATTGGCGATTATAATACAACCCTCCATGAGAGTGAAAAGGATGGTGGGAACCCTTGGATCGCCTCTCAGGCGTCTAGCCTGCGGGATTTTATTCATGATCTGGGCCTCCATGATCCAGGATTCCTTGGGGATCAGTTCACCTGTACGAATAGGAGGATGGGTGCAGCGTGTATCCGTGAACGTCTGGATAGGGCCCTTTGTTCGCAAACCTGGATGGACCGATTCCCAGATACGTTGGTCAAGCATTTTACGGACCAAGGGTCTGATCATCGGACTTTTATTCTCTCTGATAGACCCTATGCCAGATATTGCCGCCCTCTTTTTAGGTTTGATGCCCGCTGGGCGGATAATCCGGAGGTAAGAGCTATGGTTAATTATGTATGGAAAGAGGATGTTCAAGGTACTCCTATGTTTCGTCTCTGGGAACGCCTCAAGAGGCTGAGGCACCTGTTATATGATTGGAGTCGACCCGGGACTACTAGTTCCTTACGGAATATTAATACTTTCTAGAGTGAAATCGAGCGGATTAAAGCTTCCCATCCAATTGACTGGGAGGCGGTGAGTGTCTTGGAAGTGGAGTTGAATCGTCAATGGGAGGCTGAGGAGCTGTACTGGCAGCAAAAGTCCAGGGTCACTTGGCTGAAAAAGGGTGAAAAAATACTTCGTATTTCCATAGAGTGACCAGGACTCGCCGAAAGAAGAACTTTGTGGAAGGCCTCAGGAATGATGAGGGGGGTGTGGGTCACGGACGAACCTGGGAAGGCTAGGGTGGCGACAAACTTTTATCAACAGCTCTTTACCACTGAGAACCAAGTGGACAACATGGTTGAGCGGGTGGCTACGTTACCTATTCCCCAGAGTGTTACCCCAGCAATGAATGACACCCTAAGGGCTGCGGTGCTCCCTGATGAGGTGCAAAGGATGGTCTTTGATATGGGGTCTAAACAGGCCCCTGGTTCGGATGGGTTTACTTGGAAGGTTTTCAAGGCCTTTTGGGATATAGTGGGTAGCTCGGTTATTGATACAGTATGTTCCTTCTTTGCTACGAGTAGGATGATGCATAGTTTCAATCATACTTGGCTCACTTTGATCCCGAAGGTGGAGAATGTGGAAACTATGAGGCAATTACGGCCAATCAGTCTATGTCAGTTTGTCTATAAAGTTATCACAAAAATCATGGCAGAGAGGTTGGCCTGCATTCTGCCTCAAGTCATCTCTGACGGTCAGAACGCTTTTATTCGAGAACGCCAAATCGTGGATAATATACTCCTTGGTCATGAGTTAATGCACTACTTGAAAATTAAAACGCGAGGTAAGAAAGGGTACATGGCCCTAAAGGTTGACATGAAAAAGGCCTATGATAGGGTTGAATGGCCCTTTCTTCTCGCAGTTTTAGACAAGATGAGCTTTAATTCCGTCTGGCAGGGGTGGATTCATGAGTGTCTTAGGTCTTCCTCGTTCTCGGTCCTTATGAATGGGTCCCCTTTGGGCTACTTTTCCCCTTCGAGAGGGTTGCGGCAAGGCGATCCCCTCTCCCCTCTCCTCTTTGTGATTGTACGGAAGGTTTTGCTGCCCTTCTTCGTAAGGCTATTGCTGAAAAGCGGCTGGACGGGGTCAAGGTGGCTCCTAGGGCCCCTAGGATCTCGCATTTATTTTTTGCGGATGATTCGTACTTATTTTTACGTGGAACCCTCCAGGAATGTGAGAACCTGATGGTGATATTGAAGGAATATGAGGAACTGAGTGGTCAGAGGGTGAACTTAGCTAAGTCAGCGGTTTGCTTCAGTAAAAATGTTGTGCAGGAGGACCAGGAATTCTTGGCCACAATTCTGGGAGTGGGGGCGGTGGGTGTCCATGATAAGTATCTGAGCCTGCCTACGTTGTTTGCTCGATCTAAAGTGGCGACTTTCCGTTTCTTGGAGATAAAATTGTTAGAGCGCCTCCAGGGGTGGAAACAGAGGACGTTATCTTGGGAAGCTAAGGAAACACTGATTAAATCAATTGCCTTGGCTTTGCCTCTGCATGTTATGTCCTGTTTCAAGCTCCCTGTCTCACTTTGTCGTCGTCTGGATAAGCATGTGGCGCGCTTCTGGTGGGGTGATGCTGACGGTCATCCGCGGATTCGGTGGATGTCCTGGCGGAATATGTGCAGAAGTAAACATGATGACGAGATGGGTTTTCAACGGTTTGAACAATTTAACCAGGCTCTCCTTGCTAAAATTGGCTGGTGCATCCTTAATGAACCTCAATCCCTCCTCGCTCAGGTCTATAAGGGCAAGTATTTCCCAAATGGAACTTTTGTGGACGCTACGACCTACTCTCGTCCTTCCCGGGGTTGGCAGAGTATCCTGTTTGGGCGTCAGTTATTAGAGAAGGGTCTAAGGTGGCAAATTGGTAATGGGCAATCTGCTTCTTTGCTTCATTCCAACTGGATCCCGAAGCTCCAGCTTGATCCCCTGATTTATAATCCTCTGATCATTCTCGCGGGTGGGGATCCCACTGTTGCTGAGGTCTTTGTCAGGGGGAGGGGCGTTGGGATGACCAAAGACTGGGCCAGTGGTTTGACCCTCCAACTTGTTGGGCTGTCAAAGAGATTTCTCTTCCTTGCCAGAATGTGGAGGACAGGCTTATTTGGCATGATACATCAGATGGGTTGTTTTCTGTCAAATCGGCCTACCACTTGGCGGTTGCTTTGGATAAGCGAGGAGGGTGCTGGAAGGCCACGGCCAGTTGGATGGATAAGGCGAGTTGGATTCGATTGTGGGATGCGAATATCCCCCCTAAGCTGAAAGTTTTTGTCTGACAGATTCTTAATCGAATCTTACCAACTACTGAGGCCCTTATTAGTAAACGGGTCCCTGTTCTCCCTAGATGTCCGGTTTGCTGGGAGAGCCCGGAGACGATGGAACATCTGTTTCTTTACTGCCCGGTGGCTAGGGCTCTGTGGGACTATTCTGGGCTGGATTACGTGAGGGAAGGGTTGCCTTGTCACACATTCCCGTTGTTTCTCAAGAAGCTGATGGCTTTGGTTCACCAGGCTCAATTATTCATGGCGGTGGTTGCTGTCCTTTGGCGGATTTGGCGTTCTCGTAACTGGGTGGTCTTCGAAGGTAAACAGTTTGGGTTCCCAGCTTTGATGCGACAGTTTCATCAGCAATATGAGGAATGGGTACGGCTTCCAGTGGACAAGGGCTTCCAGTCTGTGGTCCCTCGGGGGTCATTTGAGGATGGAGGAGTCCGAGGGGGTCGTTTGTATGTGGGATGGGGCGATTCGGCCGGGGTCGCATTCGGCTGGAGGGATAGTCCTGCTATCCCCTGCTAGGGCTGTTCTTATGGTTAAGGGTGTACAGTTCCCATTCTTGGAGGATCCGATGATGGTAGAGCTACTTGTCCTCTGGGAGGCGGTCTTATGGTGTCTGGCAAATAATTTACACCAGTGTTCAATTTGAAGGTGATGCGAAGGTGATCATTGATAAAATCAATCAAAGTGATGCTAGAGACAATCGAGTGGGTGCTGTTCTGGAAGAGATCTTGCAATATTTTTGCATCCATCCGGGATTGAAGGTTCGATTTGTAGGTCGGCGTAGTAATAGGGTAGCCCATTTGGTGGCTAGGAAAGCCCTCTCTTTGTACCCGATCATGAGTCGAGTTTGTAACTATCAGACCTGTTTGAATTCCAAGATGTAACGATCTATTCTTTTGAATCAATATATGATTATCTTTTATAAAAAAAAAAATTCCCTCAATGTATTTATCTTTTTCTCTGGACACTGAGTACACGTTCATGTGAAAGCATAATTCCAGGCTGGAAAAAAGTCTGAAAGGAGGAATTTTTTGTTGTTATATCTTCTAATAAAAGAAACAAATATCAATAACAAAATGGAGTTGAAGGGCAAATATCATCGTATGGCTTTGGCCCTTTAATTCTTTGTATGAATGAACAAGACAAGAAGGGAAAATTCAATTATATTTCTTGTGCCGCATTTCTCATTTCTTGGAATTATAGGTTCTGAGATCCCAGAGCTTTAATTTTGTTGATTAAGTGGGGAAAAATAAAAAAGGTTGAATGATATTTAAAAGGGTAATTGGTTGAGTAATTTCATCTGGAATAACGATAATAATTGTGCTGTAAACTGTTGAATAGGGGACTGACCGAGTCCAACATGTTTTATATTTTATTTGAATTTTTTTTATATTTAACTTTTTTACAAGAACACATAGACAAAACGATTCATAAATTAATGAGAAACATAGCCTAAAGAATAATTGAGTCTAAAAATAGTTGAAGGAAGGATTTTTCAATTTTCATTGAAATGACGAAATATATGATTTTAGAAAAGTCAAAAGAGGAGATATACATGTAGATATTGATACAAATTGTGATAGAACGGGTCAAGAACGCGACGGGCAGGTCGGAAGCAAGGGAGCATATCACGTCAGTAACTCCTATGGTACGTAACCATTAGTAACCTGTCCACATCCGCATGACATCAGCATCCCCTCTCTCCTGGAAAGTCTTTTATCTTTTCCCCTTTAATCTTTAACGGACGATTTCTCTCTCGTTTTAAGTCAAAATTTAAATTTTTTTGCACAGATAAATCAGATTAATGTGCTCTTTAAAATGATATTCACTTTGATATATTTTTAGTACAAAAAAAATTGAATAATTTTTTTCTAGTCATTACCATATGGTATGCTCATATTTAATACCATATGGTAAGAAAGCGTATCATGATGGTATGAACATACCAATATGGTAAGAAGGTTGAATACATGATAGTAGGATTTTACTAACTGTCATTTACGACTTGCATCATTGTTTACCACAAGTTACCACCCACATACCATAGTGGTAAAGTATGGTAATTTTTGGTCCAGTAATTTTTTCACCCAGAAATTTGTAGATCCAATAGATCATGATGAACTCGTTCCTTCTGGGCAAACGTTTTCAAAAGCGACTTAAAAATGAAGAAGTTACCATATGGTATGTAGTTGGTAAAAAAAAAAGTTTCACGAAATATATTGAAAATTGATTTCATTTTGTAGAGCACAACGAACTCGTTCCATGTGTGCAAATTTTTTTTTTGAAATCCGAGTTAAAACGAAGAAGAAAAGAGCCAATTATGAAAACTAGGGAAAATAAAATGTCTTTAATTGACAACCCTTAGATCTGAATTTTCTGGGTCCACTTAGATCTAATGGTCCAGATTTAGTTACTCATAAGTCAGTAAGCATTGGTTACTGACCCTATCCTAAGGCCGGAAGCAATACCCATACCTTACCCCACACGCTACTTCGGATAAGGTAATACCCGTACCAAACATGACATGAAAGATCAGATCGCGCGTGCAAGTCAGGTCAGAAAATTGTCATCACTACTTCCATGAACTTCAGTATTGTCAGTTACTATGATGAATTAGTCGATACATTGATGAGAGTGATGTTTACTAGGGAATTAAATCTACCAGATACGAACACAAAATTTTGAAGGAACTAATCGATGAATCACCATATTTATCAAGAAATTACGGAACTCCAGGTCATATTAACAATAAAGGACACACATGAAAAAGTTAACGGGCATGGATCTTAACGGCATGTGTATATGTAATGTCACGAACCCGTAATTAACGGACCGGACAAAAAGATGACACTTATTTATACCCAACTAGAAGCAAAGCTGATGATGATGGATCTTTAAGTAGTTTAGCGCAAGTGGAAGAACCTTCCTTCCAAACTACCGAAAGCTGACCGGGTGACCGTACGTAAACAACAAAATAGCCGTACTGGCTGAGTTGTCAATTATTTATTCCTCATATTTATGAAATATTAAAGAAATTAGCAAAACAAAGAAAACGATCAAAATAAATTAGGAGTTTAGGACACTTCGCTTTTTTTTTTTTTTCAATAAAAAGCACACACAATCACCAAACTTCATAGATTTTTAAAATGGCCAATACACTAGTCTTTGTCCTCCCACCAAATTGATAACTCATCTTTCAATGCCCTCAACAGGGCAACACAATAGAATACGAAGTTATGAAGTGGGTATTTTATGCATTATATAGTGTATGGAGTATGAAATCTGAATAAAGGAGGAATCGGAATAAGGGGAAGAATTTGAACCATTGTGATTAACGAAATTCTGCACATAATTTTTTTATATTTTAAAGTGTTTTTTTATTATAAATATACGTATATTTTAAAGTTGATTTCAAACTTGAGAAGAGCTGTAGCCTCTTCTATTTTTCCACCAAAGTGCAATTTCAAAAGCACAATTGATAATAGTCGTGTTATAGTTGTATTTCTTATTAGGGTTCAAAAGCACAATTGATACTCACCATAAATGAATGCCAATTGCCAAGTCAAACCTCGAATGCAATAGTCTTTGCCCTTCGGCTGCACAAAAGCTGACTTTATGAATAAGAAGGCTCACCCAACGAATCATCTCGTTAAACGTTGACTCTATATCCGTACGAAAGGTCGCTCTGGCATGGCAGGGACCAACCATTTTGGAGCCGCCATTTCGGATAATCACCAAGGGAAAGTCAACGAAGCCCACCAAAAAACGACCACTAAATCACTAGTGGCGGAGTGCTCCCGACAAGACAACAGACTGGCCCAATAAACATTTGGCACGAGAAGATTCCTATCTGAAAAGCCCAACCCATGGCCAAGCCCAACAAGATACGAAACCTCGACCGAAAATGGTTACTGTAATTCTCTGGCTACCGTTTTCATATAATAATTTCACGACCTTACACATCCATCCAAAGTACACAACAACAGGTTATAGTGTTCTACAACTCCCTTATTTACAGAACCCATATATTAATCCCAACGCTTGCCTCTTTTTAGTCTCCCCTGCCTAGTAATAGTATAGCATCAGAACAATCCATTAGATTAGATATATGTAGTGTAGAGATGATCATTCTCTTCATCTTTCAAGCACTGAATCCGACAGTCAACGGGCTCAAATTACCAGCTGCACACGCCACGCCCGACGCTTCCTCCATCGTCGCCTTCGACACCCCACTGTTACAGATGTTGGCAAATGCTCTCATGTGCTTCATCCCGTACTGCGTCAGTGACCCACATTTCCCTTCGAACACCCTCACCTGCAAAAACAAATCCCCAAACCAACTCATCAATATAATATGCTTGTTGGCTGCAAGATGCGATGCTTAAAACACGAGATTAACTCACCATCGATTTCAAGCATTGCCAGTCGTCCACCAGCGCGGATCCGACCCCCCTGACCTTGTTGAGCACTTGTGGGCCGTTTTTGGGTCCGAACAGGAGCGTCCCAACCAATTCGATGCTGCCGTCCAAGTGGTTCCTATACGTCACGGTCCTCCTCATCTCTTCCAGTATCTCTGCCTTCTTCGTAGATCCGTTCTCTGATCTCTTGTACTGGAGAAACAACAGGACAGATCATGTCATGTCGTATGCAAACATTTTTATTTGGCCATCTATCTATTAGGACTTTATTGATTGGTTTGATCGTATGAAACACTTTACCATATGCCACAAGAAGAGAAGCTCTGCATCTCTCTGGTTCACAACATCCGTCCTCGACAACCCAACGTTGCTGGGCTGTGGAGGGACGTTAACGCTGTCGGGATCGAAGCCCTGGTACAGGTAGAGCTTCTCCGGCTTGATCCCATTGCTCCCGTATTCCATCACGTGGGATCCGCCACTCGAGGTCCTCGACTTCACAGCCTTGTACTGCTGATTCACCGTCTCCCTCTTCAGATTGTGCGTCTCACTAAATTGGAAAAGATTTGATGAGGAGGTCAATTCGAACGTACGTATCCGATTGTTCATCATGGTAATTAGACATAGATAGATAGATATATATGTACAAAGACGATCGAGTTGCTAACAGGACACCATTGTTTTTACCTGTCTTCCATCCAGGCGACGCTGTAGAGATCCCCGATGCATGTGATGTACTCCGGGGGAAGGGAAGGGTCCATCCCGGGGCAGTAAGTCCCGAAGCTGGCCTCCTCTGCGTTGGCCGCAGTGGTGACGTAGATGTTCAAATCCGTGGGCATGATCCCTTCAAAGATGCTGCCGCTCTCGCAGGCCTCTACGTAGATCACCATTTCTTTGTAAGTACCAGCTGCGTGCTTCTTCTTCAACACATTGATGAACTCCATCGCGTATACGGAAGGCATGTTCGGCATCCCTGAACAGATGAAGTGGCAGTGTGGCACAGTCAAGTCAAGCATAAGTTGCCCATCTCAATCAGCTATCCTTAACCTTGTAACTTGGCCTTCATTGTTTCCACCCGACTTACCAAGAACACCAGGGCCGCCA